TAAACCTGATCATATTCTACAAAACCAAGAAGACTTCCGAACTCCTTATCAAAAACAGCCCGAAGCCGACGGAGAACCCTCTACAGCAGTCAAGCGTTGTATACATGTACACTTGCCCCCACGAAGGATGTAACCTTCAATCTAAGTACATAGGTATGACGTCGACCAAGCTGACGAGGCGTTTGACTTGCCATCTTCAATCCGGTGCCCCCAGGAATCATACGAGACAAGCCCATGACATCACCCTAACAAGAGAAATGTTGAACAAAAATACCTGTATAATAGACAAAACCCAAGATGTAAAAAGATTACAAATTCTTGAAGCATTTCACATAAGAATAGAACAACCTACCACGAACACCCAAATCACGGAACTATTTACTCTACCCACCATGAGAGTAAGGACAAGACCAGAACATAACGATGCCAACACAGAAGACACTGTTCAACATAACAGGCCAATTACACCTGATTAATCTTTGTATGCAGATAGGAGCTGCCTCGTATGGGCCAATAGGCCTTCCGCAGTTACCTCTATTCTTATGTTCTTATGTGCTTCACCCCCCATTTATCCCTTATGTATCCCCCATGTTTTCATCTTTATTGTCTTATCACCTGACCCAGTGCGGGTATAAAATCAACCAGTTCTGAAAATTCTTTTCACTTGAGAATGAACCATGGAGGCTCGAAACGTTGTGCAAATTGTATAAATAAGTGTAATACATTCTATAGTAATTCACTTCTTTTCTTCACCTTGAAATTACGAAAATGAGTTTTGGAGAACTCCTCTTTCAGCTAAGCCCTTATGCTAAGAAAATAGTTAGAGGGATAGCAGCCCTATATCAGAAGATAGTAAATACAGAATATGCGGTCATCATATTCAATGAGACATATGTATATATATATATATATATATATATATATATATATATATATATATATATATATATATATATATATATATATATATATATATATATATCAAAATCGTTTGATTGTTTTGTAACTTTGATAAGCATGTTAGTCTCTGTTTACATATTTTCTGCTTTGTTTTCTCGTCAATATTGCAGCAAATCATATCCTCTTTTCTGTCACTCATTTTGTTTTGTTTTCCATTCCAAGTTACAGGAACAGATGTTTATTAACTCTTTTTACAGGCTAAGAGCTCTCTTTCCCCACAGCTCGGTGTTCACAAACCAAAAGCTCATAAATCAATTCTTAACACAAATGTTCATCTTGAACATCATTTTGTTTAAATAGTATTAAATTAAATATAGAATCTGATTCTGTATGCCATTAGAATCTATATAAAATCTGATTTTATTTAGAATACATCGCATTTCAAATGGCATCTTGCTTTGGTCCTATAGAATTATTGCATGTTAAAAATTACATTCCTGCAGTATTATATCATTGAATTAGATCCTCTTTAAAAACTATTCTGTTTATGATTTGATCTAGCTTAGAATTTGACCCAGTTTAGAATTTGAGTCTCAAGATTATATCCAATTTAAAATCAAATCGTGCTCAATATTTCGTTCTAGTTAGAATCTAATTCAGCTTAGAACTGCATCCTGTTTGAGATCTAATCCAATTTAATATTTTTCAGATGTTTGTCAATTTAAACAATTTTCTTTGAAGCACATATTCATGGTGAGATGTATTATGTTGTATTAATAACGCACGTTATTGTATCCTTCATACATGACTTTATACTCAAAAATACATTAGTTTATTCATTACATCATTACTGAATTTATCACTATACATCACTGTACTCACAATTATACATTCACTGTATCCAACACAATATATTATACATTTTACAATTCTGCACCAAGCATAACGCAATAATACACCCATTCTGATTTATTTCTAATGCTGTATATTACTTTATCTACCACCATTCACTCTGTCACCCATAATACAGTATTGTAGCATCCATAGTGGATTTCTCCATACAACAAAATGCATTACAGCATCATCAGAGCCCATATCCGCGTCCACTATGATGTCATATGGGATACAACATAATACATTATTGTTGTATAAGACTCAGGTTGAGGTATTGTATCCCGTATTGTAAACTACCAAGTCGTTAAATACATTATACTGTATCCAATACAATTACATTACTGAACCATTATAACATATTGCAGTATCTAGAGAAATGTATTATTATTGTGTTAATCCTAGTGTATATTGTATCCGCCAAAATACATTACTTTAGGTGTCACCTCCAGGCTCTCTCGACCCTTTAAATCCAACAATAAACTTTACTGCATCCCCCCCCACCCCCATAATACATTACTCTATAAACCATAGTAATGTATCATGCTGTATTATCATCATGCATTAGTTTATCCAATATTATACATTATTGTGATCTCCTTAATGTACATTACTGTATACATCATTATACATTGCATAATAAAGCATATAACAATAATAATATATTACTGTATCTTTCATAATACATTACTGTATCAATAATAATATATTTCACAATGATTCATAAGGTATTCTTGCATCAAATAATAATAATAATGTATAACTGTACCAATTACAATGCTTCACTGTACCAATTAAATGCATCACTGTACCAATTACAATGCATCACTGTACCAATTAAATGCATCAATGTACCAATTACAATGAATCCCTGTATCATCTAGAGCACATAACTGTACCCACTGTATTAAATCCTCCTTGATGTATTACAGTATCAATCACAGAACCATTTGCTACCATTACTGTATGATAGATTGTATTATAATGCAGTAATTTATTCGCAATAACACATATTTCGTTCATTATAATAACAATATTAGGGGGTTGCCTTATTAAAATTCTCTGTGGTTGACACTTGTTCCATAGTGCCACAGCACCATAGTGTTCCATAGTGCCACAGCATCATAGTGTTCCATAGTGCCACAGCACCATAGTGTTCCATAGTGCCACAGCACCATAGTGTTCCATAGTGCCACAGCACCATAGTGTTCCATAGTGCCACAGCACCATAGTGTTCCATAGTGCCACAGCACCATAGTGTTCCATAGTGCCACAGCACCATAGTGTTCCACAGTGCACAGCATCATGGTGTTTCACTGTCACAATCTCTCATTGTTCCAATGTTTCATATTCTTCAATTGTTACATTGGCTCATTGTTCAATAACCTCATATTGTTTCACTGCTTAATATTGTTCCACAGCCTCATTGTTCCACAGCTTCATTGTTCCACAGCTTCATTGTTCCACAGCTTCATATTGTTCCACAGCTTCATTGTTCCACAGCTTCATATTGTTCCACAGCTTCATTGTTCCACAGTTTCATTGTTCCACAGCTTCATTGTTCCACAGCTTCATTGTTCCACAGCTTCATTGTTCCACAGCTTCATATTGTTCCACAGCTTCATTGTTCCACCGAATCACAGTTTATCCCCCCCCCCATAAAAAGGTTAATGCATATTTATCAAGAACACAGACAAGCTAGTGAATCTGTATGTCGCAGAGTTCGAAATATTTACAAGGATGCACACTCACCCAACTCACACTAACTCAACGAATATTAATTCACTAGAGCGATATTAACTCTACTGATAACTTACTCACATCCAACTGATATTAACGCAACAGATTAATTCATCCAACTGATATTAATAAGTTCGTTCAACTGATACTAACTAATCCAATTGATACTCAACTGAAGGGACCAATAGATTGTATTTTAAAAGTTGTTCAATGTCAACCAATATTTTTTGACTAGTTGCATATAAAAAGGGTTGCAATTGTTCCAAGTTTCAGTACTGCAGCCTAAATAGAAAGGGAGATTTATTTTTTTTTTTTTTTTCAACGAATATTACACATTTTCAAGTGTGTATATACAACCACACGTTTCAGATATAATCATTCTATGACACTTTTCTGACATATTAGCATATAATAAAGGATCTGAGGCCGGGGATTTTCTAAAATTAAATTAAATCCGAGTGTTTAGTTTTCTTATAGAAATTGTCAAAGTTCCCCTCCTCCCCCCCCAAAAAAAAAAAATGTGCAAATGTAACATGTTTATTGCTATTATAAAATCAATAAATGAACTTAGGAAAAACGCTGGCCCTATATTTTAGAGACAAACTCTACATATAAGGTGTAATTTTCATGTAAATTGAATAAAAAATTAAAGAGTTATGTGAAAATTTATGTTACTTGAAATAACTAAGTAAATAATTAAGTAATTATCAAAAGAAGGCACCAAACCGGGAAGGCTGTGTTGCACCATCAAATGTGCGGAATAATCAGAGGACGCTAAATATCACCAAGGATGCCAATATGAGAACAGAAACGCATAAGGCGAACGATATCAAAAGTATCCGAGTCACCAAGAATTCTATCGAGGGACAGGTGACCGCGAGGGACGGTCGGAAAGGAAGACACACGCTCGTCCTGGAAGTCAGGACATTCAAGAAGGACATGCACGACCGTAAGAGGGACAATGCAATTAGGACAATAAGGAGCAGGGCGGCGCTCCATCAAGTGACCATGGGTAACTAAGTAAAAAATAAAGTCTAAGGTGCTGCCATCTGTGGCTGAGGTTGACATCAACCAATTTCTTCTGAAATTGGCACACTTACAGATAGGCTTACGTGCAGTCAGGTGTACAAGTTTCGTGCAAATCGTCCGATAAACAAATAAGAAAGCTAAAATTAAAAAAAATAAACATTTTTTTTAACTAAATTTTTTTAATAAAAATAATTATATATATTTTTAATATATGCTATTGTGATAGCTGAGAGTCATAGACATTATTTCAGTTGACACTTGTGTTTGATAATCGTTGTTGACCATTTTGGAAAATTTGACATCTACTTCAATATTTTTTTTTTCACCCTATTTATGCTACGATGCTGAAACTTGGACCAGATGAAACCCTGGAAACACAAACCGAAACAGTCTCTATTTTCCGCTTGGTACAACTTGTAATAAAGTTGCTACCTCTTGGCTTAACGTGTTTATAACGTATTAGAACGTTGTTACAACTTGCTATATTGGTTGTTATAACTGGTTAGGAGGTGTTAAAACTTGTTCGAACGTTGTACCAACGTCGTAGTTTCGGTGTGTGTTTGGTGGGAACCCTTTTTCATATATAACACATCAAAAAAGTTTTATTGAAATAGAACCATTTTTATTTTTGAATCTATTGACCCCTGAAACTGAGGCTAACTCGCTGACCTGTGGCCAAATTAGCATGACGTCACGGGAGATCAGTACAGAAAAGTACAGCATTTTAATTGCGTACATTTCAGTGGAAGTGGAGCTCCCTGAAGCAGCCATTACAGAACTTAGCGACGCACACTTGCAATATTCAGGTGCAACGCACTCAGCTTGGGGGGACATTTTTAGCCTCCTCCGAGTTGCGTTATTTAATGCATGGAATTAATGCAACAATACTTTTGTCACGGAAGTGATTGGGCTGCAACTCGTCGATTGTAATTTGATCCTTTTAGCTTGGGCTCCTAGCAAGTATACCTTGTAGTCCAATACTGAAGTAAACTGGCAGTTTATATGCAGAGAGAAGGGAAAGTACACTTTCCCATAGGTTTATGCACACGAGGTCGAGTTTACGCTGCGACGTCGGACTTTAAGACGTGTGCCCAGCAACACACGTCTTAAACGTTGTGGGATGCTGGCCACCTGTATCTTGAGAACACTGGGATGAGTCGTTGAATTCACAAGACGTGTGGCGAGATTGTCAAGCAGTAAGTGGAGGTTCAGAATATCAGAACCGACGAACCACTAACTTCCACTGGAAGGGGACAAAATTAATGGAAGGTCACTATACACATTTGATCTTTTTAAGCTGTGCTCGACAAGGCTATGTGGTTGTTCCTGACCTCATCCCCGCGTCAAGCTTGTCCAAGTTTGTCCAAGCGCCTGCCAAGCTTGGCCAAGCTCCTGCCAAGCTTGGCCAAGCTCCTGCCCTCCCAAAAGGCGCAGTTGTACATTTTTCCCCGCTATGAAAACTGATGGTAACCTCATCGGATGTTGACAGGTAGAGTTCCCTTCATCCACCAGTAGGGAGACGAGCTGAAGGATTAACGAGTATTTGTCCAGTGGCCAGTGTTCAGAACACGGGGTCGTTCTTAATTCTTTTTCGACTCCTTTTCAGCAGCTCAGTTCGATTCCTTCATCAGTGTTGTCGTTTCCGGGTTCGTGAGAGGCGGATGGCGGCTTGATGGTCTGCTCCTTGCTGACTTCGGGCGCTGTGTTGCTGGTACGAAGCTGGTCATTATTAACACCTTCGATCGACGCCTTGCGAGTGATGGAAGAGTTTCGGCTTTTGCTTTCACCGAACGATTGTCTAAGGCTTTCACTGGATTTCTCGCAAGCTTTGTTTAGGTTCTCGCTACTCTCTCTGTGTCCTGTTTCGCATAAAGATTTTCGAACACCCGGGGGCGTTGTGCCATACTCTGGCGAGTGTTTGGCTTTTATAGACGCGTCCCTCTGGATTTCGAGCGACTTCCTCCAGTTATCCGGATCTCTCTTACTAGGTAACGAACACCTTTTTCTGACATCGGGCAGGTTACTCCAGCTATCCGGATCCTTCTTGCACGGTAAAGAGGCTCTTTTACGGACGTCGGCCGAGTTACTCCAGCCATCCGGATCTCTCTTGTTACGGAAAGAGGGTCTCTTCGTGATATCGCAAGAAACACTGCCAGTTTCTGCTGCGTTCTTCGGAATCTCTGGTACGGTTACTTTAGGCTCAGGCGCATTCTTCTCAAGTTCGAATGAGTTTCTCCAGTTATCCGGATCTCTCTTACTCGGCAAGGAGCATCTTTTTCGGACATCGGGCGAGTAATTCCAATTATCCGGATTTCTCTTGCTTGGTAACGAGGATCTTTTAAGGACATCGGTCGCCTTACTACCCGCCTCTGATACATTTCTCTGGATTTCGAAAGAGGTTCTCCAGCTCTGTGTCCCCATCTTGCCTGTAACAGACGAACTTCTGTGGCTTTCAGAAAACCTCTTGCTTCTATCTATCGATTTTCTAAGAGGCTCCATTGAGTGCCTCCTCCTCCGTTCCAGCTGATTGTCCTCCTTAGCTTCAGATCCCTTGTCCTCCAGCGTGAGGCCTTGGACAACCGGAGACTTACTCAAGATTTGCGTACTAGTTAGACTACCATTTGTCAAAACTGACTTTAACGGATCATTCACCATCCGCTGTGTTTCTTCAGTGGGAGGATTATGTTTTGAGACGTCAGTGGCTTCCAAGATATTTTGATCTTTCGTAGATATACTAGACTCGTGTGAATTGCTGTGCTTGCTGGAGGAAATCTCTGGCGGCGCTGAAATCCTCAAATTGGAGAACTGCTGGAATTCGTGGCAGACTGCAGCAGGAAGCGACACCGGCCTGGCGATACCTTTGTTTTCACTCCTGGAGCTCTCTTGAGCAAAGGAGGCATCTTGTGGCAACTTTTCCAAAGATGTCGAGGTCGTCTCTTTAGCTTCAACCTCCTGAGGCACAGAGGAACTCTTCTGGGCCCCCTTTTTCGGGGACTTTCCAGCGAGCTTCCTGGAAGACCTGCCTGGGGACCTCCTGCAGGATCCGCTGGTCGATCTTCGAGACGACCTCTTCGGCGATCCACTTGCCGATCTTCTCTGAGGTCTGTCTGGAGACTTGCTGGCTGACCTCCTTTGCGACCTGTCTGGGGACCTCGAGGGTGACCTACGGCCGGAGAGTGTGAGGTCGTCGCTCTGGGTCATGCCAGAGTATTCGGTTTCAGAGCCTGAGTCCCCGTGGCGGTGTTGGTCAGCCTTCAGCTCCTTGAGTCGCTCCTGGAGAAGTCAGAAGGGTGAGATCAGGAGAGGTGCAACTGCTCATCATACTAATTAATGATATTACAAATATTTTAAACTCCTCTGATAGCAAGATTTTTTTTTACTACATTTACTGCTGCTATTAGTGTTACACCACTAGCTTCTACTGCTGACAATGCTGCTGCTGCTGCTACTACTGCTGCCACTGCTGAGAAAAGCAGTAGGAGCCATGAAGAAGATTCGAACCTACATACTTGGTACTACCATGTCCATTCATGCAACATGTTAATGGGATTTCATTGTGCAAGTGACACAACTTCTACCGCGTCTACTACTACCACTACTACTGACAGTACCACTTCTACCTCTACTACTGACAGTACCACTTCTACCTCTACTACTGACAGTACCACTTCTACCTCTACTACTGACAGTACCACTTCTACCTCTACTACTGACAGTACCACTTCTACCTCTACTACTGACAGTACCACTTCTACCTCTACAACTGACAGTACCGCGTCTACTAACACTACTACTGACAGTAGCACTTCTACCTCTACTACTTACAGTACCACTTCTACCTCTACTACTGACAGTACCACTTCTACCTCTACTACTGACAGTACCACTTCTACCACGTCTACTACTAACACTACTACCGACAGTACCACTTCTACCGCGTCTACTAACACTACTACTGACAGTAGCACTTCTACGTCTACCACTTCTACCTCTACTACTAACCCTACTACCACTATATCACCTGTACCACTCATAACTAATACTACCACCATCTCCACTACTACTACTACTACTACTCTCATTATTACCTGCACAGCTATTACAACCACATCCTCCAAAACTACACTACTGTATTCCCACAAAGACCTGCTGTAGCTATGAGGATGTAGTGAAGCTGTATAAAGGGATCGAACATGCGGGCCTGGTCTCCCCCAGCCTATACGTCAGTTCGATCCCACCACATCACACTAATATTTCCTCCTTACAGCTAATTTAAATATTAATATTACAATTCTAGAGTCTACGACTTGGAATACAATTGCCACTACAGCTGCTGCGAATGTAAATACAAACTACAATATCCAATACAATTAATGCAACTGATTCTATGACAAGTACAACTGCTGTTTGTATCATCTTTAATAACAAAATTATATTGATACATTTATTTCCTCTCAACTTATACAGTTGTACTGTCAAATAGTTACTAATAATTAATAATAATGCACATTTACTAAAATAATAATACAAATAAACTTTAAAACAATTGTACAAAATATTCTAATTAAAATAATATAACTCAGGTATAACATAATAATAATAATAATAATAATAATAATAATAATAATAATAATAATAATAATAAATTATAATAATTAATAATAATAATAATAAGGTGTGTGTGTGTGTAATGGTTGACAAACCTTTAGCTGCTGTGTGCTGCTCTTGGTGAGACTGGAGGAAGAACGAGGGGACTCAATAGTTACTGTAGTTCCCCTCACTTTGACCTGGTGGGAAGACACGCACCAGTCATAGAAAACGATCCTCTGACT